TATCTGCTATTATTAGTTTTAAATGTATGCCTTCTACTTTCTTCAGGTGTCTCTACTTACATTATAATGAAGGTAAATGGGAACAATGTTCTCCACTCTTTTGTATACTGTATGCAAATAGTTCTTAGCTCCTTCTTCACATAGAAGGTTCTCCATGATCTCTCAGCTATTTTTTCCATCTTTATTTCTGCTCTGATTCTTTACTTGTGGAGTTCCTGGCCTGAATACAGTATTTTAAATGGGGCATACTGTGAGGTACTATTTTTACCGTTGCTTTTTCTCATTCTTTATTTGTCCTAAGCATGCTGTCTTGCTTTTTCTGATCGCCAGTGAACGCGAAGCGCTAGTCTTCGGCACTGCCTGGCCACAGCGAGCCTCCTTTCCTTTTCAGGAGCTGTTGTAGTTCACGTGGAACGGGGCGACGCGTACGCACGGTTCTGTTCCCGGGTTTGCCAACTTGAAGTGTAGGTCTTTGCTCCGGATCGCGCCGGGAGCGATGCTCACGGTCCTCCACGGGAAACGGGGGGCCGGGCCGGTGGACGTGCCTAGCCCCTGCCCGGGTTGGTGCACATACCACTGCATGGGCAGGTAGGTGTGGTCAGTAGCCAGGACGTCCCCTGTTCAGCCGGGGAACTAATTTAGTCAGTTTCTGTATTTTAAATAGAATTGGATAAATACTCATCTGCCCTCCGATTGTTCCGCCGCCTGTAGGAGGTTGCACAGTAATTCCAATGTCAGAGCGTTTGTCTTTACAGTATGTCTGCCAGCCAATCCCTCCAAGGTGAAGGCGTAAGAATTTAGTATTATTAATGCCTCCTTTCATCTAGTTAACGATCTTTTCAAGCATTCCATCTTCTTTGTGATTTACTTGCGCTGTCAGATAAAGATCTTACTTAAGCTAAGTATTATGAAATAATAGAAATCTTTATTTTATTTGAATACAATCGGGATAAGTGAATCCAGCAGAGAGTCTGATGTTAAACAGATGCAGTTCTTAGCAGCATCACACACGTAAAATCAGCATAAGTTCTTTGAATGCTCAGATCTTAACAGACGCATTCTTTTCCTCCATATGTTATAATAAAATAAGGTTTTGCTCTGAAAGTATTGACACACACACTAAGCAGTTTTGGCCAACATGCCATTTTATTCCTTACACGATCTCAGCTGTGGCTATTATTTAATTTTAAATAAATGTGTGCATTAAATAGCTGTAAAGCACATATATGGATACTCAAAATCAGTTTTTGTCAAAGTAATGATTTTTTGTTTACTGATGCCTAGACAAAGGAATGCTGCGTCTTCAAAGCAACATCTGTCAAACCGATTTTCATCAGATTAAGTATATACTCAAAGCAACCATCACAGCCTACAAAATACTGGAAATGTAGGTTCTGCTTTGCATAAAACACCAATGGAATTTAAAGCACTTGAAAGTGTTTCACAAATGTAGTGATGATAGCCTGTGCATATGCTCCATTTTTGTTTCTATTTTCGGTAGGTCCTTGGGAAAGATGATGAGTAATGTTGCAACACTGCACTCCCAGTAGATGTCCCCAAGTGCAGTTACAGAGTTACGGTCCTGGCAGCTCATCTGGGTCTGCAAAAACCAATGGTTTGAGAGTCTGGCAGTAGAGATTGAATTTATTGCAAAGAAGTTCATCTCTAGAAAGATTTCTCTCGTTAAGAATTACATTAAAGCGTGAATCGGTGACTGATTATCCAGGCCTTTCTCTGATCTGCTGAATTCTTCATTAGTATAGACACGTGATTATACGTGCTCCAGCCTGATTCTGGTGTTGTAGATCATCAAAGATAACTAATAATATTCAATTTTAAAAGATCTTTACTGGGACAATGTAACCTGGTAAAAACGAGGGGAAAGCCAGTGGCTTTAGCATAAGAACTTAAATACAGGCACATTCAATCATTCACGTTTCTGGCCAGCTTTCTGTCTTTTCCCCTACTAGGGAATAATTATTGTATGAAAACGAGCTTCCTAATAGGCTGGTGTGTCTTCCATGGGAGCGAAGCATTTTGCCTTTGTAATAAATTGAGAAGTGAAGCCTCATTTCCAGTGTGTGCCCACAGCTGAGTGTGGGAACTCCGGTCAGCCAGGAATGAGTGCCGGGGATTTCTGTCAAAGATCTTTGTGACTGGGGGATAGAGGGTGCTTGAGCGGGAAGCCAATTCCCTTTAGTCCTTCCACTGAAAAGTTGGAAATCTAGCGGAGACTAAGAAGAGTCCTGTCAAAAAAAATCCGTGGAGAGGACAAGCAAGCGTGAATGTCAGGGACAAATCCGTCCCTCTGCATCTGGGTGTAGATACGTTACTGCGACTCTCATTTCTTGTTATGTTGTTCCCTGTGTGTCAGTGAATTGCCCTGTGCTATCCTAAAATGTTCCGCGTGAACCCTAGGCAAGTGAGTGCGAGATGCTTTTGGTGCCTACCACGTGCCCGTGGGGTAGTCCTAATTAGTGTCCTCTTCCTCAGACGCTGCAACTGAAGGTGGTCGCAGAACCGGCTGCGTGCAAACAAGGATAAATATGTTATTTGATGATAGAGTTCAAGATAAATGCTTTATATCGGAAGGATATAGTTTTTACCAGGAAAATAGCATGGCTGATTTTTGTCTTCTTTGTAAAGATATGCTAGCTACTTCTGCGATACTACCCGAAATGTAAACCTCAGACTGGATTTTAGCTTAACTCAGTATGAAAACGATCTTTATGGAATCTTCATCCTAATTCCTTAGCCAAAGACACATACAACCAAGTAAAAGCAAGTATGGAAACGTGACAAATATTCTAACCCTCTCAGCTCTATTGTGTACCAGGGAACTTGGCACTTGCAAGCTTGGGTCCTTTGAATATTAATAGCATGGCATTTCAAACAGGAGATAGGGGCTTCTGAGAAGATTTCGGCACCATGCAATGGGGAAAGCTGGGTTTGAAACAACTGTTAGGCAAGAGATTCCTTCCAGCTGTCATTTTTGGCCAAAACCATAGAGCATTTCACTCGTCGTTAAAGCAAGAAGTATGCAGCACAGCAGATCCTGCGGGGTGTGGTGGTCAGACAAGCTGTAGCGGGTTCAGCAAATACAGGCTCTTTCTGGGAAATGTTGATTTGAATTTCATGCATCATCCAAGCATAGTGAACACCGAAAGGTCGTGGTAAGAATATGAGAAAAAAATCCATCTGATTTGAATTTCTCACTATCCAGTATTGTTAATAACGCAATGTCAAACAAATAACTGTTTCTCGTGAGTGTTACTAAAGTCAGATTCCACGTATAGTTGAAGAATAACTTGCCACGCATTTTTTTTTTTTTCCATTTACTGTTCATTTCCTTTATAATATCACGGTGTTAGTTTATGAATGGTATCTTAAGCCACTGCAGTGCATCTGTGTTTTCTCAGAGTTATTTGAGTCAGTTACTTAGCATCCAGGAAATCTCATGCAGACTGTAACATGCTAATTGGCTCAGTACAATTAGGATAAAATGAAAGTGTTTTGCTATTGATCTTCGCTTGTTATTAGTTTATACTAACAGAAAATTGGATCAAAGCGGTTTAATACAGCTATCAAAATGTTCTTCCTTATTGCAGGAAATATCACTGGTCTCTTAAATGGAGGTATTTTGGAGCAGAACTTCCTTCCTTTCTCCCTTTTTCTGATCCTGTCTTTCTGACTTTTTAAAAATCGGTAGGAGGGATGATGAGTCCTATTAAATAACGAGGATGTTCAGAGACTGTGTACCAATGCTGCAACTTAACCAGGGCTGTGGCAATATTTATTGGACCATTATATCGAGATCTAATACCGTGCTGCTTGTTACCTTAACTTCACGTAACATCACGTTAATAAATCTTCACAAGCTGTGTGGTCGCAAAGTGCGTCATAACAGCCGGTCCCGTTCCCTTCATAAATCATTTGGTTTGTATTTGCCTGCCGTTGCTCAGACCTCGTCAGCTGTAACACCCCAAAGGTAGGGACCCTTCCCACGGTGCGAGGTAACGAGCCGCCCGCCCCGAGCCCCCGGGTTAGGGGCGTGCTCGGAGGGGGGCACAGCTTTACGCCCGCGCTCCCCTCCCCTTCGCCGTGCCTCGGGTCGCACGGTTTTCTTACGGGAATACTGCCTCTGCTGGGGGAGATTTTCTGGAGCTCCTAGCCTCGATCCTTCTGCAGACTCCAGGCCTCTCCACGCCTCTGGTTTTACTTGCCCAGGAGACCACTGAAGTGCTGAGTATTTCTAATTTAGACACTGTGGCAATGCCCCCCCTCCCCTGGGGATGAACCGTTCAGCCTGGCTGCACTTTGGCCCCCCACGTCGATAAACCTTTGTTTTATTGCAGATGTGATTCGCCTTCTGTGTAACAGAGTAGATAAATATCTGCTTTGGAATCTATGATTTAAAGTACTGAGTGTTGTTTTTTCTGAGACTCGGTATCTTAATCCATTTGATTGACAGACATAAACTTGAATTTTATTTTATTCTCCATCACAGCGATAAGTTTAGTCCAACTACAGCGTCATTGTTGTAATACAAATATACTAAGCCTGAAGTACTGCTGACAGCTTATATATAAAATTTGAGGATTAAGAAACCAGTGCAAACAAGCAAACACTGTCAGCTTTAAGTAAGGAATGGAGTGGTGTTGCAGTAGGCTTTACTGCTGTCACAACTAATGTGAAGTAATAGCAGCCAAAACCTGCAGGTCTGTTCTTGGCTGCAGTAAGAACTAGCAAGGTAGTTGTCATTTGAAGATGAAATTTGTCTTGTGCACTTGAAGTGTTCATTAATTGACAAAAATAACACTTTGATTTGTCTTGTCCACTTGAAGTGTTCATTAGTTGACAAAAATAACACTTTGTCTTGTCCACTTGAAGCGTTCATTAATTGACAAAAATAACACTTTTATTTGCATTGTATGTGTGATGTACTTTTTGTTTCTACATTCTAAATAATCTGTACAAATAATCCCCTTTATTTTTTTCAGCCCACCTAAACCAGCGGTGTTCATCTCTGGTGTCATTGCTAGGGTAAGATTATCATTAAAATTTTTTGAATCATAGAAAAATTATTGTAGGCTTTTCAGAATTATCACTGATCAGAGCAAAATTAATCTTTTTCTTTCCCCTTCCCCTTTTATGAGAAGAGGCTTTATGTTTTCTATATTTGCGTAAGTCCCTTTGAGCATTCTTTTTGGTTTCGTGTGAAATAACTGAAATTATTTATTAAAATCACTTATACCGTTTTACTTTACGGCGCTATTCCCTGGATTTTAGCAGCAGGTGGGACCTGGAAATCTAGGAGGGAAATCATTAGTATTAACTAGCCCTTTACGTAATGGGTAGCTTTATTACGACGGCCTTACACCTCTGGGGTGTGTGACGGGGTTTCTGTCAGATCCCGTAGGTGGAAAGAGCGAGCTGATGCCACTGTCCCTACCCTGCGAGGGTGGTGGACAGACACTGCTGTATGTCCTGGACCTCCGTCTGCACCAAGGTGGATACTTATTTAGGCACTTAAATGCCTAATTACTTCTAACTAATTATTGCGTGAGTGTTTAGTAATTTTGATAGCACTTTAACGGGGTAGTGATTTTTTCTTTTTTTTTGAGTGAGTGATTTAGGAAATCTCAGACATGAAGAACACAGGCCCCCTGTTTAGTAGGCATGCAAAAGATTCAAAAATTAAACTATTTTCTTAATTTTCTACCTCTGCTTCAGCTAATCAGTTACTTGATGGGGTACTAATCTCCAGTAAGCTGTCAGCTACCAGTTTATTTAATAACCTATGAAGAGCAAAATTGTTCTGTCATTTTCTGAGACTTTGTAGCTCCCAAACGTGTGTTAAAATTTCTTCCCTAAGTAACAAACAAAACCTAGCAATGCTTTTTTTGAAACAGGAGTAATTTTTCAATTGTGTTTTCAAGCTTCCTGGTATAAAATAGCTCTCCTCAGTGTCAAGTGGAGGTTTGTATACCGTGACCTGCCTTGTTGAATGTCTTTATCAAACAGAAGGCTCCTCATCAGGTTTTGCAGATGGCACCAACTTGTGAGAAACAGTTAATAAGTTTGAGGGCAGGGCTGCTGCTTGGAGGGACCTGGACAGTGTCGTGGTTTGGGCCTGGTTGACAGCCAACCACAATGCAGCAGCTCTCTCTCCCTTCCCCTCCGGCAATGAGAAGGGACAGAGAGCCAGGCTTGGGGTTCAAGATAGGACTGGGATGGGGGAAAATCCCCCTTTATGATCACGAGCAAAAGGCAGACTCGTTAGGGGAAGAAAAAAAAAAAGAACATACATTTATTACAGACACTAACAACACATAACAGAGTAGGACAGTGAGAAGCATTGCCCCATCTTGAGAACACCTTCCCCCCACCCCTCCCTTCTTCCCGGGCTCAGCTCTGCTCCCGATATCTCTACCTCCTCCCCCAGGGGCGCAGGGGCAGGGAATGGGGGGTGCAGGCAGCGCTGCCACTTCCTTCATCTTCGGTGAGGGGAGTGTCCGGAACTTGTTACCCCCTGCTCCATCGTGGTCCCCCTCTCACAGCAGACAGTCCTCCACAAATTTTCTCCAACATGAGTCCCTCCCACGGGCCGCAGCGTTCCCCACACTGCTCCGTCATGGGTCACTAACTTCCTCTGACTGGATTCCCTCCCACGGCTGCAGCCCTTCCCGAGCTGCTCCGGCGTGGGACACCCCCGCATGCTGCAATCCTCCCAGCGCTGAATTACAGCAGTGGGGCTGCCTTTTCCCATGAGACCCCGGCCTTCTTCGGGCACAGAACCTTGATCAACTGAGCAGGAACCACAGGCCATAAATCAATGTCTGCTCCACCGTAGATCTTCATGGGTGGCAGGGGGGGGACGCCCTGCCGTCTCCCCACAGGATACAGGGGGGTCTCTGCCCCGGCACACCTCCCCCCTCCTTCCTTCCTCCGTTCCCCCACTGACCTTGGTGTTCACGCAGCTGCCCCAACTCCCCCTCACCAGTCCCACTGCTCCTCACCACGTCCCTTCTTAAATACGTTCTGGCAGAGGCGCAGCTGATGGGCTCAGTTTTGGCGCAGAGGTGGAGCTGACTTGGAGCTGGGGGAGCTTCGAGAAGCTTCTCACAGGGGGCCGCCCCGATAGCCCCCTCCCCTGCCAGCAAAAAACCCCCCACTCACTCACCCCAGGACAACAGGCTGGAAGAATGTCGGGAAGCGGCGGGACGCGAGCCAGCCACGTGCAAGACAGCAAGAAAGCCGTCCTGGGCCGCGTGAACAGCAGCTGGTAGACCGAAGGGAGGGATTATCCCCCTCGCTCCAGCACTCTCTAGACCACATCTGGAAGGGTTCATCCAGTTTGGGACCCCCCCCCCGGCGCGTGGAAGGGGTTGGTGCTCCAGGGCGAGACCGCTGGAAGGCCACCAAGGTGGCTGAGGGGTTGGAGCACCGGCCCTGGGAGGAGAGGCTGAGGGAACAGACCTCGTTTCGCATGGGGAGGGGAGAGATGATTTGGGGAGGACCTCACAGCAGCCTCCCAGCATCTCCAAGGAAGTTAGCAAGAGGAGGGAGCCGGGCTGTTTGGAGCGGTGCACAGCAGACGGGCGAGAGACAGCAGACACAAACTGAAATGGAAGGGCCTGACTTAGACATTAAAAAAAAAAAAAAGAACTTTTTCACCGTGAGGACATTCGGGCAGTGGAGCAGGTTGCCTGGAGGGGCTATTTAGTCTCTGTCCTTAGAGGTTTTCAAGGCCAGACTGAACAAAAACCTTGAGTAAGTTGGTCTGATCTTACAGCTGGCTCTGCTTTGAGCAGGAGGTTGGGCTAGAGACATCCTGAGGTCCCTTCCAACCTGAATTATTCTGCAATATTTTGATTCTAAGGTAGGCGTTTTCTGCTGAAATTTACAGACTGACTGTCATCTGCTCAAGCGTGACAGTCCCCACATGTCACAGAAGAGCTGCATTCCCATCAGCCATTTGAGACAGCGAGGTGTGAGGGATCAGAGAGGTATGGAAAAGGCAAACAGCAGCATCAGTGGGAAAGAAGGCAGAAAATGCCAGGTCTGAGAAGAGCAGATCTTTGAAAACTGGAAGCGACTTGGAGTAGAGGACAAAGTGAAGAAATGTAAAAAGTTAACCTAATGAGCAAGATTAAAAAGAAAAAATTGTGTCAGAACAGAAGGGAAGAGTTTGGAGTAGGTTGAAACGGGGTCGGGTGTGGAACAGGCCGTCTGCGATGTCAGCTTTGTACAAAATACCTCCGCGTGAGGTTGTCACCCCACGAGCCCGTGGAATGCAGCCCGTTTCTGGCTGATGATATATTTGTCCCCATTTCTAAACGGGGAAGTTGTGGTGCTATTCTCCTCCCCCTGACACTGAGCGCTGGTGGTAGTTGGTTCCCATTGCTTTTTGGAAACCTTGTGGGACTGACCCTAGAAATGACATTTCTAACTAGGTGGCATAAGGGGTACACCTGAGCTGAGCCTGCCCAACAGCAGCATGCGAGAACTAACGCCACCAGACCTGGTCAAAAGAACGTGTTAAACTTAAAAGCCAGCCACCCCTAAGGTTGGAGTCAAAAGTGGGTTTAGATCCTGCCTGTCTTCCTACAGAACTGGCGCTCCTACCGTAGGTTTTCTGATGGGGGTGGTTTTTCACACTGCCTTGCTGTATTTGTAAAATAGTCTCCTCTTTCTGGTTGCTTTGTGTAAACCAAACAGGTCAATGAGATCTGGCCGTACAGAGCCAGTGGAAGTGGCTTAGTATGAGGAGCTGTTAAGCACTGAAGATAGGAATATTGGTTTTGTTTTTTTTTTTTTTCCCTTGGGTCACTTTAAGATACCGTGTTCTTGGATGGTGTGTAGAATTGGAAGAAGTGAAACTTGCATAAGAGAAATTTTGAAGTTGGCTAAAAGAATGTCAAGGTAGGATGTGTACAGGGGGACTTCAGGGTAACACGCAACACTGATTTCCACCTGCTTTTCACACGTTTAAAACTTACATCCACTCGAACTGAAAAGTCTGCTTTTAAGGTTTCTGAAATTGTTCCTGGTGTGTTCTTTGAACAGGGTGATAAGGACTTCCCTCCAGCTGCGGCTCAGGTGGCTCATCAGAAACCACATCCTTCTGTGGAAAAGCTTCCTCACCCGCAACATGTCAAACAGCACATCCACCAGCCTCGCAAGTGAGCTCTCCATCAGAACCTCAGCCAAACTGCCATCAGTGAATAAGTTTTTAAAAGAAGATGAAAACCCTTCAGGATTCACACTCAAATCAGTAAAATTGACCTCTAAAATATTATGCCGTTTCATTTACTTTAATTCTTGAGGGTTAATAAGAATTAAGACATTGTTCAGTTGTTATCCCGGATGGAAAATTCTCTATTAAGTATTTTGCTGATCAGGGGTGGGGGTTTTTTATAAGATTTTCTTACTGCCAAGATAAAACTTTGGTATGAATAATAGGATTAATGAGCTTAAAACTTGTACTTCTAGTTGTGGCATTGCAATACCAGATAGTTAATGTAGTTTTTACGCTAAGCCAATAAGGACGAATAGCCCTTTTGTACCAGTACCTTTACCATCTGGAGGGAGTTTGTGGTGTGTGTCGAGATAGAAATCAGTGGCTGTCTTGATTACATAGAGCCCTTCCAGTCTTCAGTATCCTATGGCATTGCACTCCAGTGACTGTGCCCTCCGATTTCCACTAGTGAGGTGATAAAAGGGCCCAAAAACACTCTCAGGTGGGCGGAAATCCAGCTGGATCTTCTTTGCACCCCTTTGAACTTGCACAGTCTTGCTGAGGTTCTTCCATTTGGAGGTCTGTGGATGTGGAAAGGGGAGAGGAATGAGAGCTACAGGAACATTGATGCTATAGGCAGTGGATTTGTGATCTCGTGGGTCTCTCTGGGGGCTCTGTTTTTATGAGGTGATGATTTCTTAGTTCCAATAACAAGCTGAAGGAGCTCAGGACCCTCCAGAATTGAAGTTAAAATAAACTGGCGAAAAACAGGTTTTCTTTTTTAACTTGAGGTTTGAGATATCTGATTGAAACTAAGACATATCATTAGTAAACGTGTTTAACTTTATGACCAAACCTCTGTTGCGCATCGTATTTTTTCCTAGTCTTCTTATTGTGAATAAGGACAGTAGTAATATGAGGGAATAAAAAAGTTACTGTTCAAATAGAGCGATTGGATTAGTTTTGGCCACGTAACTAAATCTTTAGATTGCACAGTTCAAAATCACTGAGCTCTATTATCTTCCTTCTGCAACTCATCTCCAAAAAAACCAGGAAAATAATTTGTTAGACATTCCACCTACATGTTTTAAGTGTACTTCTGTTTTTAACTGACAGTAATTTTTAAATACAGTACAGCCTTTAGTATCCTCTAGGTTTGTAAAACTGGAGCTAGTGCTGCAAACATTCACTGAAAGTTTGGTGTTGCTTGAGGCTTTACTAGCTCATTTATGTTTAAAATCAGATAGTATAGGAAACCAGTGAGGACAGATTTTAAAATACTATTTTAAAAAATTTCTGCGGATTAAATAATTATTCCCGGAGCGGCTGATTCAAAACAACAACAAAATCATGTGAAATACGGCCCATTTCACAAGTGGAATAACTCACCCCGTGTAGGTGAGAGGGACCTGGCATTTCCATCCCTTCACAGGCTTGAAATGGAAGTGATGCTTCGCAGAGGGTATGCATGGATATATTTGTGCTACACCTGAGGAATGACGCACAACCTCTACATGCAGTCCTTGTTTTCAATTTAAGTAGATAACCGTACTTGCCTTAAGGAGTGAGTGTTGTTTGTGAGAGTTATTCTGTCTTAGGGTATGCACCCTTTTAAAGATCTTCTCTCTGTTGCTGACATCGGTGCGTCCCAGGCCTCGTTTGTAGCCGCTCGTGAGCGTGCAGGTGATTCACTCGTTCGTGAGGGGTGGCGTTGTCGAGCCCGGGGGAACATCTGCAGGGGTGGGATGGGACAGAAAGAGGCGGCATCTGGTTGATGGTGCAGCCAGCAGCAGCCAGCAGCAGCCAGCAGCAGCCAGCAGCAGAGCAGAGCATCGGTCGCTTGCTGCTGGGAGCTGCTGGCTTGAGAGTGAGGGGAGCAGGATTCGGCTCCGCTGGTCCTGTGCCTACATCTGACGTGTTGGCCTGGACCCCAGCTGCAGTCAGGGGTGATGGAAGGGGGGGGGGGGTCGGTAGAGTTGAGGTGCAGCACCTTTGGCCAAATGGAAGTGTCCTTCCAGAGGAGCCGGATCGCTGCCGACTGCCTTGGTGGCAGTGGAACACTAAACATACCTCGGTGTAGGACCCACGGTTAGGTGGGGCTGTGTACCCCTCCTCCACGTGCAGTAACAGCTGGTAGAAGCGCTTCTGAAAGTAAAACCACGTTTCCACTCTAATACTAAAAGTTAGCAACGTGGATGCTTTTGAATTATCAACTGCTGCTCCTGATTGTTCATGCAATATATGCAGCGTATATAGACAGTACCTGTATTTTGTCCTTGATTACTTAGATGGATGTGTAAGTTTGTACAACGGAGTATGACTCTCGAGATAGCTTTAGTGGCTTTTAGAATTCCTATACGATTAGAAAATGTCTCTGTATGAAAGCATATTATATATTGGGGGGGGGTATCCGTGTTTATACAGAGGTGTCCTTACCAAAGCATTACCTTCCCCAAAATAACCATAACTGGTGATCCGGGTTGCCTACTGATGGTTATCGATACTTTTAAAATGTGTTACAATAACAGGCAAACATAGGAGGTGTTCAAATGTTACCTTGAAATGATTGCAAATGAAATTTTCTGTAATTGTCAGTGTGGCAATAACGCAACAATAAAGCATGGAGTTGTATATTGGGCTCTTTTTTTTTTTCTGTAAGTACAGTGTAAATCAGCAGGGTGCGGTTTTGTGGGGTTTATGGGATTTTATTACAGAATGCTGCATGACTAATCAACATTTTATAGATAGTGAAATTTATTAGGAAGTCTTACGGCACAGTGGATGAGCTGTTTGGGATAGCCCAGTCTCGTTTAAAATGAAAAGTGGGTGCTACCAGCTAGAATGGGAGTTGCTGTTTTCCCCTATGACATTGGAGACCCTCACTCGATTTTGTGAAGCTATAGAGTCTAAGCCTGGTAATAAATCAGTATGGTAAAAGGAATGACATTAAACATTTTCCCTTGCTTTTCAAGTTCTAGTCTTTCAGAAAAATAAAGTATTGCTATCAGAAGAGGTGGCAAGTTTCTCATAAAACGGCAGTTAACATTACATAGTGCATGCCATAGTACAAGCGACTCACAAGAGTTTGAAGAAATGGCTGCAATGTTTCCGGAACCTTTCTGATGCTTTGGCCATCCTATATTTAGTGTATGTGTAGTGTGTATATAATAGAACAAATAGATGTGATGCAGTACAGATGCGCTAGATTTGCAGCCCTGGGACTATTGCAATGGTATGTCCTTAGTCTCTGCACTCACGTAGTGATGGGCTACATTATTCAAAAAATGTCTTCTTTCGTGAAAATTTGGGGGAAATACCTGTGCATGGTGCCTGGCATGTTGTTTCCTGGGTTGTCCACAATTATTCCAAGTTCCATGGCCCTGCTATCAGCAGTATTGTAAATGTTAATAGTAATTAGAAACTTTTTTTCTTCTAGTTTCAGCAGTATGGTTGACCCCTTTTTGTCGTCAGATATCTTGAAACATAAGTCTTGTACTTTTATCCGCGGTGGTGTGATCCTCACAGGCTCCTGGCCGTTCAGTGGAAATGTTCACAGCAATCTGTTTCATACAGAGGTGGCGGGGATGGATTGGGCACACGTTTTTGTCCCTTTGGAATAATTTTATTCTGAATACTCACCGTCTTCGTGGAGGAGGGAGGTGTGGGTTTTATAAACCACTTCTCATGTCCCCTGCAGTTTCAGGTATATCGAGTTTAAAATGAGATTTAAATCTAGACCGATGCCTTTAGCTGTAGGATTAAGATACATTAATTGTGTTTTAGAAGACGTGGGGCTGTCAGGAAGGGTACAGTTACTTTTACAGCAGGAAGAGACGTTGCTGGTCAGATGCTGCAATGACATAAAGAACTGAGAAGACAAATCTCTGGTTTAGTTCAATTTCTTTGCACACAAACCTCTTCCCTCACAGGATAAAGACACTTAAGTATAACTGGTTACAGCTAACATCGTCTGCTCTGTCAGTAAAAGAGGAATGCAGATCATAGTGACTGGAGGAGCCTCAGTGAGAAGAAACCGAGTCAAGTCTAGAGCAGTAAACCTTCAGACTTCTTCAACGGACGAGTAAAAGAAATCTTCATTGTAGCTGTAGCCTTTGGTAAGTGCTGTGCATAATTGTATTTTGTAAAATTAGCAAAGGTAATGACTAAGTGCTGATTTGCTTTCCTAAAGAATTCTTTTATTCCCCTCAAAATTTCTCTGTCAATCACACCGCTGGCATGCACACTTTTTTCTTGGGAAGGTAGAGGTTTGTATTTTGTTGCTGCGCTCTAGGATCTCCTTCAAGAACATGTATTTATTGGTTTTACCCATCCACCATCAGAGAACAGACTGCATTTACTGTGTACTGGTGTTTGAGTCTTTTCATAAAACGGTAGCACTGGTGTTTAGGTTGGAAGCCTGAGAGCTCGGTGGAAGGGGTTGTATTTCATGAAGCACTCCAGGAACGAAGTGGTCACTTCTGTTGCAAAGATTCTTTCCCTTTCCTTCAGGATGCCGATCAGAGCTGAGAAGAAAAAAAAAAAAAAAAAAAAAAAACATAGAACACCTTTTTTTCTGAGAATGGAATGTGTTACTGCTTGGAGCTGATGGGCGGGCGTGGATGCAGATGATTTTTTGCAGAACACACTCCCAGTGCTGCCAGGGACAAAACGTGGGTGCTAGAGCCATTGCAAGCATAGATCTTGCAAGTGACCTTGGAAGAAGCCCTGTAACATAATCTCAGCTGCCCAGCTTGCGTTGGAGATATTTTTAGAAAACTGGAGTGGCTGGCGTTCGGTAGGTCACTCGCGGCTTTAGGAGAAGGAAAGCATTTGTAATCCACAGTGATTTTAAGGATTATAAAAATTGTTTAGCTGTTAATGAGCTGTGAGCTCTCTATAGCCGACAGCGAGGACACGTGTATTACCTCTGGTATTTTCTTACACTGGTGTGATAGAGCTGGTTCAGCGAAATGTTTTTTATCCTTCTAGCTGGCAAACGAGCAGCCGGTTATGGACGTATGTAAAATAACTTCTTACAGGCCGTTTTTGGTAGGCTCTCAGGTGTCGGTGGGTGTCTGATACCCTGTTCAGAAGGCTAATGACATCCCTTTCTTACGTACGGAGGATCAAGTGCTCTGGAGAGCACAGCAGCTAAACTGGCTTCCCTCTTAAACCACAAGTGTCTCTTGAAATACAGAACAGCAGCGTTAGTTAAAATGGAATAAAAAATTAGCTACTAATTTCTGCGTGCTGCCAGCGGCTGAAAGAACCAGTATCTTGTCACGTTTCAGGGGTGACTAAAACCACGGATATGTTCAATGCCTTTCTGAGTAAAATTGCACCAACGTGCCAGTGTTTGGGTCTGAAGGAGGAGAGGCGTCATTTTTCTCCTCGTTTTACACTTACTTGTGAACCTGCTGCATTTATCTGAAAAGTTTGCTCGGTATTTAAATAAAAAAAAAAAAAAAAAAAAAAAGCCTTTTTTCTGAAGTCACGTACACCTAATCTTAGGCTTCCTTTAATCTTTCAAGTGACGTGTTGCTCTGCAGGGAGGACTAACCTTCCATTTGTCTGAGCTCTGCTGACCTCGGGGTTCGTTTCTCCAAACCCAACCCGTGGTTGCTGCTGCGAATTCGGAGCGGGTTCGCGCGAACGGGGGCCGTGACCCTCGGGGTTCCTGCCGAGAGACTCCTAACGCTGATGGGGGGGGGGGGTGAAGGGGCAAAGGGGCGCCCCGCCGAAGGGGTTTGGGTGGGAGGGAGGTGAGCCTTCAGCTGCCGGGGGGGGGGGGTTTGTAGGGGTGGTGGTCGGGGGCTTTCTCATCCCCCCCCCTTGGGTGCCCTGGCACCTGTAAAGGCAGGGGGGGCCCGCTGGGTTTGCACGGGGGGGGGACACCCCTTGGGGAAGCTGAAGGCTTCGTAGCTTTGCCTCTTGGAGACTTGCAGAGCGTGGGCGGCGTGCTGGTGGAGCGCTTCGGGCTTCCTTGGGGTTGGTTTTTTTTTGTTGTTGTTTTTTTTTTTTTTTTCGATGTATTTAACTCTGCGGCGAACCGGAGCTGTGACCACAGCGGTAAACCCGCGGGCGTTAAAACCAGAATGGTAAGTGGATCGGCACGGAGGCGGACTCACGTGTGCTCTGGGAAGCTGTTGTGAGAAGGTGATGAGGGCGAAGGAGCCGAGCTGCCATCTCGTTTCAGAACTGGATACCGGCCGTTTCTTATGTCGCTCGGTGACCTCAGTTTCCACTGCCTAATTGTGTACTGGAAGCACAATCCATTGATTTGCAAATCCCCGTGTCCTTGAATCTTTTTGCATGGGAGGGACCTCTGGATGAGGAAAATCGGCAAATGCAAACCTATTGTAACAAACTCGTGGTTCTTTTCACCTACAAGGTTTAGCATAAAGAAATACGTATTATCTGCCTTTGCTGCAAAAGCCAGCAATAGGTGTATGTGGGATGTGGAACTGAGACATATTATAGTTGAAGTTGAGACCTAATTAATATTCTAGTGTGTGTGTACCTACAAAGAGAGAGAACAGTCAATTTTAGAAACTAAGATGTGATATTTTATTTATCCCAGAGGCGTTAAGCAATGTGAGATCGGATTCCTTGGAACTCACAGTCTGGGTGAACACCTTTAACATCCTTTTTGTAGGCAGATTTTTACGGTGTTAAATCTGAGTTGCTAATTAAAAAAAAAAAAAAAAGCTACATTAGAAGCTGATCCGTTGCCTAATTCCTACTCACTGGATAAAAGATAATGAATAGCAAATGCAAGAATTCTCTTTCAGGGCCTGACTGATCACCCAGAACAGAATAAACATCAGCCCGCTGCTGACGCGACACCGGTGGCAGCCGGAGGGGTCGGCAGTGAAAGGCTGAAGCCTTCGATGAGCCTTTCGACTGAGCTTATTAGGAGGACGTTCGTTAAGCACAGCCTCGCTTCCCACCGCGCCGAACGGCGCCCGCACTGCGCACCAGCGCGGGGAGCCCCGCTTTGCGTGTCCAAGAGCTGCTCCACCATCAGCCAGTTGTCGTTAGGATAAATATTTACAGAAAGTACAGAGCGTGGCCTGACTACTTGCCGCGATTCGTAGCACTCCTCTTTCCTGGGTCCGTGTGTTCAGTTTGTTTACAGACACGGGGGGGGGGGTTTTGTTTTTTTTTTTCGGGGCTGCCGTCGGGCGCGGCGCGTGTCGCTCTCTGGCGGCTGGTCCCTCTGCAGGAGGTGGGACTGTTGGGTTAAAAGGCAGAATCTGTGCCTTGAAAGGTATACGAGATGTTACCCGTGGTGCGTGAGCAGATCTCTCCCGGGAGATTTAAGGTCCCTACGGGTGCAGGTTCCTTCAAGGCAGGTTGTTCTCCCATCCCACGCAGGCTCTCGGAGGATTTCTGGCTTGTGTTTACTGAGTCCTGTTAACTTCGGTGGTAACTCTCCAAGGCATTCAAGTCATTTCAGATTTTTTTTTGCAGGACTGGAGCGTTCAAACGAGGTATTTCACATGAGGCAGGGACCTCCAAACGTCTCTCTTCTCAAACGCTGTAAGGCACATCAACCTGGAAAAGGGTAAGAGGAGGAGACTCGGGGGCAGACCCTTCGCTTTATGTGAGTTTGGTCTGTGGAGCTCTGC